GTTTTTGTTGTTCTTTTATTGTTTTTTACTTAACCCTCCGACTACTCAAATATCTCCCATTGTTATTTAGTTGTATGTCTGGCCCATGCAGTTCTCTGCACTTGACTCATAATTTGACTGCGATTTGGTACTTTTTCGCTGGTACTGCGTTGTATGAAACTGGGCGTGGCCGAGAGCTTACGTTGATTCGTCACGTTACCCGCCTCGTCGGTTACTTTCAACGTAACCGTATTGTAACGCGGCGAATTGGATGATGATGGACTCATATCGATGTTGTTGTTGCTGGCGTGACTATTTAAATTTGATGTACTGCGCACCATTTGTGATAGCGGTGAATCCACCGTTGATGACGAGCGACTGTTTTCTCTAGATCCTCCGCCTCCAGCGCCACCGCCGCCACCCGTTCCGGCTATATTACCATTCGACACAGATTGTGTTAGATTGTGGTTGAATGGCTTCATCAGATGTTCATCGAGCGTATTGAGATTTTTATCCAAACTCAATTGTATTTCATCATTCAGGGTTAACGGCGAATTGGAATAAGAATTGCGATTCAGGGTGCCCATGGGTGAGGGCGTCAAATTGCCCATAGAACTGGGTGTGGGAGTGCTTAGGAAATTATAATTACTACTGGCATTGTTGTTATTGTTGGATGGACTGCATGACATGGGATTGACATAGAAGAAGGAAGAGGGTGTTGTGGCACCACCATTCGGCAGCGCCAGGGCAGCCGACGATGCTCCGCTGGCTCCCAAATTTAAAGCTTGTAGGCGATTCAATAGCTCTTGATTGACCTGAAACAGATCTTTGGACAGGGCCTCCTGCTGCTGCTGGACGTTTGGTGAAGCACTTAGTTGTTGTAGCTGTGATGTAATATTTTGTAATTGATTCATGGATGGAAAGGGGCTGGAGGACAATGTGTTGGTTGTCAGATTTCCAGTATTTGCAGCCGAAACATTCAGATGTAATTGGGATTGACTAAATGATGATGTTGGCGTTTGTAGGGCATTTGCTTGTTGTTGTTGGGCCAACGATGATGCCGATGTGGGTGTTTGTTGTTGCTGCTGCTGTTGTTGAAAATTTTGCAGATTTTGTGTTTGTTGATTGAGACCGCTTAGCTGATGACTGAGCGATGTTAGTTGTTGATTAATTGTACCCAAATTATTAATTTGCTGATTAATGGTGGCCAAATTATTGTTGGCATTACCGGCTGTGGCCTGCAGTAGCATTTGTAGATGATTCTATAAAGTTGTCGATTCGTGCGATAGAGAAGAACAGAAAGAAAATCGATGAAGATGATTGAATATTCGTTTATTGATTCGTATAATTACTCAGGAACTGTAAAATATCCATGCGTAACATTAACAAAAAGAATTGAAGCACATTCAGAGCGGGCAGCAAAACAAAATTGACATATAAAAACAAGTTAACGGCGCGGGTAAAATAAAACAGACGCACATTTCAATTTAACAAAAATAAAATAGCATTTTTATAATTTTTGGCATGCGAACAAAGCAAGTAGTTTTTAACACTTGGCAAAAATAAAAACAGACTTCACACTTTTTTTCAAAACAGGGTAATTTGTTATAAAACAATAAATCAAGGAGGTAAATAAGAAAAATTATATAAAATGTGTTGATTTTTTTAATTTTTTTTTTTTTTTTTTTTTTTTTTTTTTTAAACAAAAATTCGGTAAATTGCGAATCGTGTCCTATCTATATCTATAAAAGAGGAAAATGTTTGTATGTTTGTTTGTTCGTAATTTATGGACTAGAAAACCGCTTAACCGATTTTCCTGAAAATTTCCAAGTATACTACAACATCGACTGAAAGTAACATAGGCTATATGAATATTTGAAATTCGACTGGTGATATGGCCACAGAATCCGAGGTACCTCCCAAAAATTCAGATTTTATATGCACATATCTATTGATATATTACAGATACAGTCTCCATATTTGGAATGCATAATGGAATTTGGAACAAAAATAAATTTGCCAAATTATATTGAAATCGGTTCAGGTTTGGATGTAGTTCCCATATACATATTCGGCCGATTTCATGTATTTGATGCACCAAACACGATACGTATGTCAGATTCTAAATTGGTACTAAAAATATTTGTCAAAATTCGGTTGAGGTTTGGGTATACACGATATGTATGTCCGATTCCAATGAAATTCAGAAGGTGTGACGGAATTTGGTTAAGATTTGGATATAGCTTCTCTATATATTCTCGGCCGATTTCACATATTTGATGCACCAAACACGGTATGTACCTCCAATTTCAATGAAATATGTGAAGGTGTGACGGAATTTTATGGGGAAGCATCTTGCTGCAAATTTCCTAATTGCGACAGAAACACCACTTAACTTCCAAAGATTGCAGTTTTCTGCACGCTTGGCATTTGGTATAAAATTAGTAAATCCAAAGGACAAACCCTTCGTTTATGCGGACTAAATTTGGCATGTTCCTGCTTTTCTCATTGTCAGCTCTTCCTGGCATGTTCACGCGTTGGTATTTTAATGAAATAGGAACACCTCAAATTGGTCGTTAGCGGTACATGAGGTTTTAGCTAAAATATGAGTCAATATTAACAAATTCCGGAGTAATTGTATTCATCGAATCGTGTTGGAAATTAAGGTTGAAACCTTGGAAATTTCGAATATAAAGAGGTTCCAAATAATTCCGGAGTAATTGTATTCATCGAATTAAGGCTGAAACCTTGGGAATTTCGAATATAAAGAGGTTCCAAATAACCAAACCAAATAATGTAGCCACGTGAAGGAGTGGGCCGATAAATTGCATATTCACATCAGATCTCTGTTTGAGAGGAATATTTTGATACATCAAGTGAGATGTATCGCTGAGTTGTTCTGCAAGTTATGAGAGATTTAAAAATTGAAAATGTTGACTCCTTTGCTACAATAATTGTTAATCAAAATTATAATGGTTTGCGGGAGAGGTACATGAAGAAGTCACCGATATATCCCATCTTCACACCAGATCTTGTGTTATTTATAATGTTGGGATGTGTTAAATTCGAAGCGGATCTGATGTTAATTTCGCATATTATGAGAAATATAAATATACTTTATTAAATTAAATTTTTGACCCGCTGTGGGAGAGGTACCAGAAGGTCCGACATATTCTATCTTCACATCAGATCTCGTCTTAGTAGAAATATTTGGATGTGTGAAATTTGAAAACAATTGGTGACTTATTTCGAATTTTATAAAAATTTTAATTATTCAAAATGTTGACCCGTTGTGAAGGAGGTATCTTCACACCACATCTTGTTTTTGTGGAAATAGTGCGAACTTTGAAAAGAATCGAACACTTATTTCTAATTTTATGAAAGTTATAATTATTGAACATTTTGACCCTTTCTTGGGAGGTACCTGAAGAAATGGTCCGATATCTGCTATCTGCTATCATTTGTGTTTGTTGAAATATTAGGATAATTAAAGAATCCGACAATTAATTCGAATTTTGTAACAGTTATAACTATTCAAAATATTGACCCGTTGTGGGGAGGTACCAGATCGAGTGGTATATTCTATGCGTTATTCATACGCAATCTTGTGTTGGTAGAAATATTGAGTTGAGCGAAATTTGAAGACAATAGAACTCTTATTTCCAATTTTAAAAAAGGGGAGATATTTGATGGAGTAGAGCAATATTGTTCATTCTAGCACCAGACCTAACACTGATAAAAATTTTGGGATTTGCAAAGTTTGAACAAAATTCAATGATCTTTTCTGGTTCAATTAGGTAAACTATTATCTATGAAAATTTTGACCGGAAGGAGTGGACCGATATTTCCCACCTCCAAACTTATTCTAACTTTGAAAATAATATTACGAAGTACCAGGTTTGAATCAAATCTAGAGTTATCGTGAACACCAGCCAGCCAGAAAGACAGACGGACAAACCTAGATCGACTCCAAATGTCCTGATACGTATTTGGTCCAAAGAGGCCATTATTTCGATAAGGCATGTTTTGGCCGTATCAAATGATGTATACCCTCTGTAGCCATATGGCTAAAGGTATAAAAAGAATGGCTGGTCTCGTCTAAATAACGGTTTTCGACTTTTGAACTAATTCCGTTGCAAGACATTTGGAGTCAGTCTATCAATGACCATCCATCGTCCTGGCTGGGTGGTGCCCACGATGACGATCGAATAATGAAAAAGTAAAAACCTGCTAAGCTCCAAGCCGAACTTTTAATACCCTCCACCATTTAAAAGAAACTAGAAAATAATTGAGAAAGTCCCGCTAAAGAATACCGCTTAATGAAAACTGAAATTTTTTACGAACTTCAAATACGAACTCATAAAAATACCGAATATCGAGAGGTATCGTTACATGGGGGCCATACGAAAACGTGGACCGACATGGCTCATTTACGAACTTAAACTGCCTACTGGCAAAAACACATGTGTGATAAATTCAGTTAGAATGTTATGCTGATCCAGAATATATACTTTGTAGGGTCTATCGTGAGTATTTTGAATAGTTACAAATATAATGACAAAGTTGATTTACCCTTTATAGAATGGTGGAGGGTATAAAAATGAGAGTGTTTATCTCCAAAAAAAGTATTATTGTGACTTGTCTTCAGTCTGCAACTTGGCTTAAAAATATATTTTCAAAATCTAGGACTAACTGTTCATGGCATATTACGACTAATAATTAGACATCTCCTCACTGTGTTACCTCTTATAAAATGCGCAATTTATTATTGTTAATAAAACAAGCGGAAATGATTATTTGGCTATCATTTGCGTTCATTGTCTCAAATAGTAAACAGCAGAAAGGAAATACTATAAAAAAAATTGGTCAAGCGTCAGGAACAAATTATATTTAACATTTAATGAAAAAGAAAACAAAACTTAGCAAATGTTTATTAGAATCGAATTAAATTTGGCAAAAACAAAAACAACAACAACAACAAATTATAACAAATAACATGTAGATAATTCATGCCAACTCACCTGTGGTGCCATTCCTATATTGGCTGTGGTTAGACCAGGCGCCTGCTGCTCATTGTATGCACCCAACGAGGCTAAATGTTCCAGTAGTTCACGGTTTTGTTGTAACAATTGTTGTGTACGAGCCTAGAATGGCGAAAAAAAGTTGTAATTAGCATTTTCAAAATGAAATGGAATGTAGTTTGCGTTTCACATACCTGAGCTTCAATTCGAGCATTTGTTTCCGATATCAATTGTTCCCTTACCATCATTAGTTGCGTTAGGGCATGGCGCGTTTGCATGGCCTGTTGTTCCAATTGATCTTTCAGCTTGTTAATTTCACGACTGGGTGAAGAGGGCGATGTCGGCGATTTATCTTCATCGGTCTGAAATTAAGAGAAAAGTTCCAAGGTGAGAAAACTAGGTTCGCAGATATGTGTTAGAAAGTTAGTATGCGATTTTTAACAAGGTACTCGATCAATTTAATTGGTCATATTCTATGAATAGAAATGCATCGTGGGAGAATACCCGGTGCATTGGCTAAAATTAGTTAAATACCCAGGTATTTATCCAAATTAGGTAGTTAACTATTTATATAATATTTGTTCGAGATTTTGTCGTAACGTGATGAGTAAATATATTTAGCAATTCAGTGCATGCTTTCAGGCGCTCCCTTTAATTTTAAAACTTTAAGAAACGTTTTAAAAGTTTGTAAATAAAATTCTAAATTCTAATAATTGCATCTCGTGTTGTCTCAAATTCCATACCAAACAAGTTAGAATTTTGCAGTAGGTGTTCCGACAGATATATCCCTGAATTTGACAATTGTTATACCCTCCACCATACTATGGAGGGTATATTAACGTTTCATTACGTTGGCACTCCTCGAAGTACTAATGTACTCATTCTTAATAAGCGTATTTTTCACATATGCCTACTGACAGGCAGGTTAGGTTCGAAAATGAGACATGTTAGTCCGCGTTTTCTATCTATTCGGTTCATAGGGTTTGTCAATAAGGCTGGGGTTTTAGAAGTTCGTAGTAGAACGGTACGAAAAGTATTAAAAGGTACTAAATATGGTACCTTTTGTATTTGAGGAAGCAGTGGATCTAGAACTCTTACATTTGGAGTGAGGATCACTGAGGGAGTGTTCGATAGATGTGCCAAAGGGTTTTTGGAATTTCACACTATAAGTGTACGAAAAGTACCAAAATGTACTAAAATTGTTATTTCGTATCATGTGAACGGTTAGCGATAAAAACTTAAAATTTTGAATGGGAATCAAGGTAGAGCAGTAGAGTCGATATAAGGAGTTAGTTTTAGAAGTGTGTACTCCTGTATACGAAATGGACTGAAAGGTACTAAATTTAGTACAATTTGAATTTTGAAGATCGGATGGTGCGACAATCCTGAATTCTGAATGTAGGATTGGGATATGAGGAAGTTTTCGAAATTTGTACTTATGTACACGAAAAGTACTAGATGGTACTAGATTTGGTACAATTTCGAAATTGGTGAACCGATAGAATTTGAATCCTGAAATTTAGGAATTGGATTACTTTCTTTCATTCTAGAACTGACAAATGTGGGTAGTTTTGGAAATTCGTATTTATGTGTACTAAATTTGGCACAATTTAAATTTTGGGTGATCCATTCGAGCTGCTATTCTGACAACTAGAAATAAGATTGTCGGAGTGTAGGATTGGGATATGTAGGCAGTTTTGAAAATGTGTACTTATATGTATTAAATAAAGTACAATTTGTATTTGGGCGAACCAACGAGGCTGAAATACTAAAATTTGGAATTGGAATTACAGTGGGAGTGTAGGATTAGGGTATGTGAGAAGCTTTGGAAATTCGTAATTATGTGTACTAAATGATAGTAAATATGGTACAAATTGGAATTGTGCTGAACCGTTGGAGCTGGAAGTCTGTAATTTGGAATTACTGTCACTGATGGAAAGCAGGACATATGTGTTTTAGGAAATTCGAACTTTAAGGTTATAACAACTTACGGAATGGTACTAAATTTCTAAAATGGTACCATTAGGAGTTATGTGAACGGATAGTGCTAAAAAACAAGAGCTAGAAATTTGGTATGAAAATCAAGGAAGGAAAGTAAGTTTTATTTATAACGGTGGTTTTGGAAATTTGTACTAAGTATGACAACTGTACTAAATGGTATTACATTTGGAACAGTTTGCTTTAGGGTGAACGGATGAGGTTGGAATTGTGAAAATTTTGTACTAGGTGGAGGAAATGTGTACTATAATTGTACATAAAGTACTGAGTGGTACTATATTTTGTATTGGGTGAAGGGATAGGGATAAAATTCTGAAATTTTATATTGCAATAATTGCTGGAGGAGGTTTTGGAAATGTGTACTATAATTGTTCTTACAGTACTAAGTAGTACTAAATTGGGTATTGGGTGAAGAGACATAGCTGGAATTCCGAAAATTTGATATTTAGGTCTCTGTTGGTATCTAGGATTGAGATATGCAGACGGTTTCGGAAATGTGTACCATAGAAATTAGTAAATACTAAATTAGGCGTTGGGTGAACAGATAGAACTAAAATACTGAAATTTGATATGAATGTCACTGTTACAGAGAAGGTGCACCCAGTTTTCGATCCCGAAGTTTTGATGCTTAAAGGTTTCCTTACCTTATGGTATTAAAATTTCCGCACAGCCGAAACTGATGCTTTTTTCATTCTAGCGTCATATATTTTCTTGTTATAAAGAATCTTCAACATAAAATTTCAACAAATTCCGTAATAATTATTAAAATACCGAATATGGCGTGCTAACCTTATATGGGTATATACGAAAACATGAATTTGTATAATAATTAACTGTCATAGGAGATGATGGGTATCCTCAACCCCGAAGAAGGTACCTATTTCAATACCAAATACTGACTTTGAAATAATTTCTGTAAAAATCTGGCTAAAATCATAAATCAGTTCAAGTTATGTGGGACTATATAAAATATGAACTATTTTCAATACCAAAACTCTTATGGATCTGAAACACATTGGAGTAAAATGTTACCAACCTACTTCATTTTATTCGAAACCTAGAGTGATTTTCACAAATGGATAGACAGACATACATATGGAAGAGCATGGCAAAAATCACATTTAATTTTATGCTGATCAAAATAAATATTTGGAGGTGTTGGAAACGGAATGACAAACTTAATTTAGTCTCCATGCTATGATGGCAGAATAAAACAAGTAAAAAGCTGTAAGTTCGGCCGGGCCGAACTTTGAGAACCCTCCACCAATTGATACGAATTTAACAATTTTCAAAAAAAAATCCCTAAAAAATTCTGGTAAAATGTTAAAAATACCGAATGTAGCCGTATATTACGGTCCATACGATGACGTGGACCTGCATGTGCAACTTTTGTCACTAGCTATTACAATATTCAAAAAAATCTGTTTATAATGTAGCCATCAAAATACCGAATATTGGGAGGTACTATGGTGGTTGTAAAACGTGGACCTGCACAGACAATTTTCTGGCATAGGCTGTAGTATTCATTATGAAATTCAAATACCAAATTTGAAAAAAGTTCCGGTAAATAATGTCGCTAAAATCATCAGAATACCAAATATCGGGGGTACCATTATATGGGGGCTATACGAAGACGTTGACCTACATGGCCCATTTTCTGACTTAAGCCGTATTATCTGTTACGAACTTTAAATATTAATTTTGAAACAATTCCGGTAAATAATGTCTCTCAAATCATCAAAATACCGAATTTCGGGAGGTACCGGGCTATACGAAGGTATGAGGGCTATACGAAGTCGTGGATCTACATGGCCCATTTTTAATACCAAAAGTTCTGCAGACATAATACACATTTGAGTAAAATTTTATCAACCTACTTCATTTCGTTCGGAAGCTGGAGTGATTTCCACAGAAGGACAGACGGATGGATATTGATAAATCGACATAGAATTTCATGCTGATCTGGAATATATATACTTTGGAATATATATATACTTTGAATGACTAGTATGTCATATGGTGGAGGGTGTACCAAAGTACCAAACCAATCACATATTTCCATCAAATTTGTGTGATTTTCGGTGAAAAAAAAGACAGCAAATTGAATGATTTCAAAAGAATTCAGCCACACACACGTTCATTTAATGTAAAAGTCAAGATTTTGCCAAAAAAAAAAAGATATATATATATATATATATATATATATATATATATATATATATATATATATATATATATATATATATATATATATATATATATATATATATATATATATATATATATATATATATATATATTTATGCAAACAGCAACTCTGCCGACACATGCCAAAGAAATATGACCCATCGACGACTGCCCGTTATTACACCTTTTGCTAAGGTGTTTTGTTGAAAATAGATTTCCATCATCTGCTAAACAAATTACCCAGCGATATGCCACACTTATTAACTGCCAAATAATAAATAATTTTTAATAATTGTCTGGTCGATAAAAACACACAAGCACACCCACAAATATACCATCGAACCAACCCCTCCACTAGATGTGTTTATAAAACAACACCATTAATTAGGGGCACAAAGCAATTGATTGTGAAAACAAAAAAAAAAAAAAAAAAACACATACACCACCAACAACGACGTTAGACGCCAAATAAACAAGAAAAAAATAAACAAAAAGTCAAAAATATCGCAAAGGAAATATGAGAATTACAAAAAATGATATATATATATATATATATATATATATATATATATATATATATATATATATATATATATATATATATATATATATATATGTATATATATATATATATATATATATATATATATGTATATATATATATATATATATATATTTAAATTCTCATACAACTTATTGAATTTTTGAATAAAATGGAGGAAATGATTGCATGTGTGTATTGCTAGCATTTGTCATCAACTATCCCATGTTTGGTTTCGACGAATTTTTATGAGGGATATTTTTTGATTCGCAAAAAAATAGTCCCAAAAGCGAAAGATTTTTTTCCACATACATTTTGCAGACTATTTATAGACGTTCGACGTATTTTGTTTTTCTTAGAGCTTTTATAAAAATGGCCAATTCAATTAACAATTATAGCCATGTCTGTCCATTTATCAGCTTAATGTGTTTTTAATAATTTTTATTTTCCATTTTGTGTTGTGCGTTTAGTCGACACCATACATATAACTAAAAATAGCAGCATATGGAAAAAATCTGTCTCTATGCCATGTTTATTGTATTAGAGTGGTTTGTGTGTTTTTATACCCTCACCCATTTGGCTAGAGAGGGTATATATATTTGATACGGTCAAAACGTGCATCATAGAAATAACGGG